TGGAAGAACACTGGTTTCCAGGGCGTGTGGGTTTCCTTTTCTGTGCGGGTTGTGAAGTTCTTAAGGGCTCCAGAGGCTGCCTGGTCCAGGCTTGCTTACTGCTGACTGACAGATTCCTCACAACTTCGATGGAGTTCTTGGAGTGCTCAGGATTCCAGGCCATCCGTCCTTATAATCCTGCAGGCATTAGCCTTACTTTACAGATGAGAACAGGATACAGGCATTAGGGGACTTGCCTAAGCTCATACAGCTTGGGGAGACAGAGGTAGATAACTCAGAGTCTCCAATGCCTTGAGGCTGTCACCTCCAGGTGTCAATTTTCAAGTCTTACCTGGGTAACTGTCAATTCAGGGTGGGTAACCCAGCAAACTTAGAAAGGAATACAAGGGAATCCTGAAAACACTCAGGTATATAAACAAAAAACAAACTGACTAAGCACCCAGTCTGTGCTATATACAAGGTTTTTTTGTTTTGTTTTGTTTTGTTTTGTTTTTCCACTCCATCTTATCCAAAAGTACTGGCTGTGACCCACTGACTTGATTAAACTAACAGGGATTTCATGATTCACCATGGGTTGTGACCCTCAGTTTGAAAAATTAGTTCTAGAACATCCAGATTATACAGGGCTCATTTATTTATGCAGTTTTTTTTTCAGAAACTTGGACTTTTGAATACATCCTGTAAACCTGTGTACGATCTTCAAGGAGCAGACACAAAAAGGGCCCTCCAGAGCAGTGTTAATACTTCTCCCAGAATACTTCTTGCTTGGAATTGACATCGTGTTTTTCACTTGTCTCTGGCAATCTCTCAGGCTCTTTCCTTCCCTACCTGGGCTACCCTGGGGTCTGGGTTACATGTACCTTCAATTTACAGAATGTTCTTGTGGCTCAAGTTGGTCAATTGGGACACCCAAGCCTCAGGCTAGAGCTGTCTGGGAAGCAGTTTCTTTTCTCTGGAGTGGCTAGCTGAAGGAAGATGGGATTCTGGGGGTAATTTCAGCCTCCAGGTGGAGAGAGCTTTTGTGAGAATGATGGTCAGAGTCTAGAGAGCAGAGCTGAGACCTGGACACAGTCTTTACTGCATTGTGGATCCCCTGGTTCCAGCACCCTCAACATCTTCCTTAATGCTTGCGACTAATTAACCCCATTTCTGTAACTATGGAAGGATCCTGACTGGATGCATCCTTTCATTAAAATATTGAAAAAACGTTACAGAATGGCAGATGATTATAAAGTCTTCTAAATTATAGCAAAGTCAATTATCTGAACAAAATCAGCATTCACTTGGCATGATAATTTCTAAACCCAAGAACAGACAGCCATGCAAGGCATATACCATGACATCATCCGTGTCCTTGGGCACAGAAAGGGACATGTGCTGTCTTGGCCAGGACATATCCAGCCCCAGAGATGATGCACAGCTCTTGTTCACTAGCTAGGTGGGTGACCTCGAACCTTACGTGTTCCCCTCGATCACTGAAGAGAATCTCCCCTGTGCCACAGTGTCGAGATACATATATGGTCACCTATGATCAAACTGACCCACAACAAATGCCACCATTTCTCCTTTACCATTTTATCCTGCGCATTTTTTTTACTTGTAAGTATTGGAAACACAGTTTGGCCCAGATGCCCCCCCACTTACTAAACGGCAAAAGAGCGCTCTGAAAACCTTGCTACAAGGTGAACGGTAGGCACTGCCCCTAGCAACTTGCGCTACGCCAGACTGGTTTCAGTGGAGCGTCTCACGTCTAAAAAGAAGGGCTGCTTTCACGCATTATTTGGGCTCTGTTTTGAGACAGACTGCTTCGAACTCTGTAAAATGGAGGATTTGGATTGTGTTGAGACTTAGAAAGCTCTCACCCCCATTTGCACCACACTGCATTTGCTAGTACCCCCGTACTAATTTCCTGGGCTGCCTCTTGCTCTCCAGCATCTGACATCTGCTCTAATTTTCCCCACCCTGTACTTTGGTCTAGAAAGTCGGTAGAAACAGCCGGCATCAGTCAGAGAATATAACAGGACAAACTGGACAGCACCATTTTCAGGCCTCCGCACTCCACCCGAGCGGAGCCTGCTCGGCAGGAAGCTGGGCTGGCTTAAATTATTCAGCGACTCAGGCCTGCATACTAATGTGGCGTTTAGTGTTTGGGTTTATGTGCTGCTAGCTGGTTCTGTCATGCCAACCATTATTTGTTATTACAGTGGATGAAAGCACACGGTTTTGTATCTATAGTTACATCTCATGTATACAAAGCCTGTCTCTGGCTGGCGCATGGAACACCCGCCACAGTTGCTGCCTGGTCACAGAACAGGGCACGGGAAATACACTGTCTGGGTTCAAATCCCAGCTATGTGATTTTGGCTGAATATCTGCTCAGTTTTTCTGTCTAAGAATGAGAGTCAGAGAACCTCTTTGATAGGGCCATTAGGAAGACTGGATGAGACACAGGCAATAGTTCCCAGAAGTCACAGCCCAGTGGATGGCAATGCCCAGGGACCAGTGGGCACACCTGTGCTCAGTGATGACCACCTGTTCCATGCTGGGTCACTACAGGCATTTCCCAGGAGCAGATGGCTTCTGTGTGAATCTTCTATGAGCAGTGTGTATACGTCATAACTCACTAGTTGACAGAAATATAAAAAAGAAATTAAGTACGGCTTCCTGTGGGGAAAAAAGGGCAGCCTGTAATACTCTCATCTGAGATTATTACTTGAAACAAGCAAGCTACTATAATTTCCAAACACTTTATTATAATTGGATCTGACCTATGCATAACATGCTTTCAGCATACAATCAATAGAACTTCAGGTTCATCCCTGTACTACAGTTAGGCTATATTATTCCTTTCGGTGAGTTCTTACGTAGACTTGTGTAATTTTGCAATTCGATTCAATACATCAACATAACTACCGTCCTATAAATATACATAAAGAGTGCCTATGTAAACCTGCATGTGGAGGTACTCTCAGTCAAAGGCATGTGTTCTCAAGTTCTTCCTTGAATTCTCAAGGAAGGGACTATAGCTGTAATTCTTTGGTAATGCTATAAAGTCAAATGCCTTCCCCAAATCTGAACTCAAAACCATCTAGAGAGACTTTAGGGATTAGAAGCATGACTGTTCTTGTAGGGGACTGGAGTTCAGTTCCCAGCAGCATGCCAGGCCGCTCACAGGTGCCTGTGACTCCACCTCCAAGGGCTTCAATGTCCTCTTCTGACTTCCACACTCACCTGTACATGCGACTTAGACTTACACAGACACGTGAAAATAAAACCTCAATACCTAGATCATTCAGAAATGGCTTCATAGTAAGAGTACTGTTAGCCTAGAGAACCAACTTTTTGTGAAGAAAAAAGACATGACAGTAGCGACTCAAGATTCTTATTCTAAGCACACCCCACCTTTTGCTTAAACCATATTCACTTGAACGTCATTCAACATTCAAATTTCTGTCCAGGGAAACTATCAACATCTACTGCAGACTAGGAAACCAGGCTTGCCCTGTGTGGCATGGTGCTGTGCAGACAGCCCGAGCTTCGAGCGGCAGAACTGAGTCTCAGGTCCCCGGCTTCATACGGGACATCCTGCTGTTGATTAGATTCCTCATCCATAGAACAGGGGCTGACAAGGCTTAACGTGAGGAATCACAGGAGACGAGGGACCCTCAGGAAACACGACCTGCTTTCGTCCTGTGGAAAAACACAGCTTCCCAAACTGTGGGTCCTCGCTCGTTCACAGGTGGGAGACGGCTCTCGTCAGTCCGTGTTGGCAGTTACAGAAAGCGGAAGTTGGCTGTGTCACATTGTGCCAGGTCCTCGCAGGTAGAAAAAAGTAACGGTATGGTGCTTCGGAGAGACCTCAAAGAGTGAGAGGAGGTGGGACAAAGGACAGAAGGGGTCACTATGCTTCACACAGGCAGAAAGGGCTGCTTCAGCTGGGGAAGCTGAGCCAGAACCTGTGAACAATGAAGCGCAGTTTCCTCAGAACCCCAGCAGCGTGGTCTGTGGTGCATCTTTGTAGCATGTTGGGTAAATTAGCTACTTCCATGAAGGGAAAAAAAAAAAGGCCCTTATAGGTAAAGGCGATCCGTTTTGGCAACCCATGTGTTCTCACTTATTCCTAGGGCATTACTTCTCTGTGTGCTAGCAACTGTGTCTAGAAAGCACACAGGGCTGATCCTACCTGGCTGGCCTGGCTCAGACCTGCTCTTTGCAGAGCCCATATTTGTGAGAGGGGCACAGGCTTGCAGACACTTGGAGAGCAAACCTCTTGCATGCAGATGGTCTCTGATGTTACCACTGTGGTTTCTCCCAGGCCACTCTATAGAACCTCTCTTAGGTGGGCCTTCAGGGCCCCACTCGTCTAGAGGAATGTGACCAGGGGACCGATCTATGCTGAGCAGCCAGAGCAAGTCGGGAACTTGAGGATCACCCTAAGGATTAGCTGCAGGCACGGCAGAGCAGCCTCACACCTTTCTCAGCCTGGGCACGCTGTGCCTGTGGGGCCCCAAGCACCACATCTGCCTTCCAGGTGCTGGTGCGGACTCCCTTTGGTAGTGCGTGCTATCATGGCTCCAGTCTTGCAGCCGGAGGACCAATGCACGGGGATCTTGGGTATCTTGGCTTAGGGCCAGTACCACCACCATGCTGGCTTCTACTGCCAGTGTGGTTTCCCTACCTTCCTTCCACAGCGGGTTGGTTCCTGGGATCCAGGAAGGTCGGAAATTGTCAGGTTGGAGAGAACAAATGACCCCTGCTCTTTCCCTGAGCAGGCGAAGGAAGAACATCTCTGGACATGGACAGTGGAAACACCCAGCACCACATCAAGCTCTGATTTGGAAAGCTGGCACCATCACTGAGCCTCGAGCTCACCATTTCAGGCTGTCTAGCCAGTGAAACTCAGGGATCCCATCACCCACACTGGGGTCACGAGTACATCGCCACCATGCCCGGTGTTTTGCATGCTTGATGGGGATTGGCAATTTCATTCCAGGCACATATACATTTTTAAACAGTATGAAGTTTAATAGCTTGATTTCAAGAACATATAAAAGTGAATTAAGAAAATAACACTTCTCTTTCTTAGGGAGGATGTTGACAATGACCATCAGACACATAACTGAGACTGACTTTTGCAAAGAGTTTTGTATGGGTGCAAATTAAGATTTAAAGGGAGGTGAACAACCAGTACAAACAGGAACATTCATCGTCTTACACTCAAACTTCACAGTACTTTGTCTCAGGAAGGCACCCACATGTTCCCGTGCGTATCGGGTGCTTTGACATAAGGAATGTTCCAGATCCACGGCCGATCTGGGGAGAAAGCACATCATATCACATTTACTTGGATAGTATCACAGAACACGCCTACTGGGATCAAAGCATTTGGTGCTCAGATCTCCAAGGTGTGGAGGATATTTTATGAATTAGCCCCTGCAGACAATAGTTTTTGTAAAGGTTCATGTTAGAACCGAGGGTTAGATGAGCATGGGGACAGACCAGGAGAGAGCTAGATGAAGCCATGTGGCATGTACGACAGAGCACTTGGCACATAACAAAGACCTAACAGACAGCAGCCACGCCCCCCCCTTTCCTGTGCACGTGATGTGCAGAGGCCAGGGGCTAACTTTGGGCATCTTCATTATTACTTCTCACCTCATCTTCTGAGACAATATTCTGAGACAAGATCTTACTGAATTTAGCTCACTACTGGGGGAGGCAGACTAGCCAGCAAACCCCAGGGATCCCGCCACTCACACTGGGGTTACAGTCCATGCCACTATGGTCGTTGTTTGTGTGGTTGCTGGGATCTGAACTCAGGTCCTCAAACTTGCACAGCACACACTTCAGCCACTGAACCATCTCTCCAGCCCTCCTTTGCTTCTTTCAGGAAGCTGGAGAGAGGGCAGCAACAGCCGGTACATTTCTGCTCTCAGCTGGTCACATTTAACCAAGAGGCCTTGGGTCACACGCACGGAATGCTTCTGTTATACTGTTATAGTAAAGGTTAATGATCGACAAGATGACATTTCTATAAATGACTGAAGACCAAGGTCACAGAAGCCACACACAGGCCTGGGTCTGCACTCCGGCAACAGTGCCTGAGAAGGCTCCTAGCACAATGAGGATGTTCACTAAATGGAGCTCCTTCCTTTACACACACACACACACACACACACACACACACACACACACACACACGCGCCTGAGGTTGACATCAGAAGTCTTCCAGTTTTCCCTCTCAAGTGAACCCACAGCTAGTCTGATTGGCTATCTTACTGTGGCAATCCCGCCACCTTCTGACCACCGGAATTACAAGTGGGCCGCCATGTCCACCTGATAGCTATGTGGGTTCTGGGGATTCAAACTCCAATCCTCAAACTCGTGTGACCAGTGCTTTAGCCACTAATAACCCAGTCTCACTGATGTTCTCAACTAAAACTGAGAACTTCAACCAACCACTCCGGACACAATGCTATGGCTAGAATCAAACCATTTCAAAAGAACCATGAGATGGGTAGGGTGTCGACGCATCACGGGTTAAAAGGAAGCCCCCATCACCGTCTTGGTGTTACAGACTGAGGGGCTTTTAGGGCCACAGTGCTTACTGTAGACAGAGTCGCACCATCGTAAGGACTGCCAGGCCGTGACCCAGTGCTGCAGACTTGACTTGGGGAACCTTCCCCCTTCTCAGAGGAAGTGATGGCGGCTCAGAGGACAGCCCGTCCGAGCTGAGCAATCTCGAGCAATCACTCTAACAGCCACATACTGAAGGATCTGAAGGAGTTCTGAAGACGCAACAAATTATCCAACATCCTTGTTGTCTCTGGCCTTGAAAGTCTGGAAGCAAACCCTCTTTTGTTAACCCACTAAGCTTGTTGGAGTGTGACAACCCCCGGGGCCTGGCGGCCAATGGCCTTGGACCTGACCTCCCACTCTCTATCTGTGCCCCTGTTCTCTCCCATTGGAAACATCACCTTCTGTGCCCGGATCCGTTACATACACATCTTTTCTACATCTCGCTCTGTGGGGTGACGCTGGCCCTGCTTCATTCCCAAGGCAGAGGCCACCTTGATTCTCTCCATGAGTACTTCACAGTGATGCCTGGCATGATACCGACTTGCTAAGCAGCCAGTAACTTCAAGACCAGCACAGCATTTACTCCTCTCCCTCAGCAGCGGGCAATGGCGACCAGGCAAGGACCTGGGAAGCTCCCTGCTGGCAGATCCCCTGCAGCTTTATAAACTAGCAGAATGCCAGCATCTTTGGGTGGATCATTTCCTATGCTGGGTGACAGGTCTGCCACCACCTGGAGAGACAGAAGACCAGCCACAGGGAGAAGAGGGTAGCCATGACACTACTGTGTCTTTGTACCCGTGACTGCTGGAAGTCCGCATTAATACTCACTGGCTTGGAGGAAACCTGTTTAAAACAATCCTCTTAAATCCTCTAAAACCTCTCAAAAGAGAGTGTGTCCTGTAATCTGCTCACACATGCGTTCGGAATAGTTTTTAAGTGCTGGCTAGATGGCAGGGACTTCGCTAGGTGCCGGAGATAGAAAGGAGGCGAGTCAGATGTGTAAGCCTCATCGAGGGAACTTCCAGTCCCAAGTGGGAGACAGAAAAGCAGGTGGCCAAACGCAGTTGTCACCGTGTCTGGTTGGTTCCCTAGCCTGGCTGGTAAGGGCCTCCCTGGCCAGCCGGTTAGAGCAAGATCTTTCCAGGCCCCAGCCCAGAAAACTCGCTTGGAGGGTCTGTGCTGGGGACCAGCAATGTGCACTTGGATCAAATTCCAAAGCTGACCTCAAGCCAGTTGGAGTTTAGGCTCCAAGGCTGAAGGAAACAGGGTACGCCCCCTCCCCGGAATATAATGAAAACAGCAGAGGGACATGACCAGGTCTTCATGCAGGGATACAGGACTGCTTGCAGTTAGAGGAGAGAGACCAGGAAGATGAGCGAGAAGGCAGGTTGGAGGTGAGGAATGAGGAAGAATGCTAAGGTTTAGCTCTGCCGGAAGGCTGGGGAAGACAGCCAGCTTCACTACCTTTGTGTTTCTACCTCACCTCCCTCTGGCTGTTAGGGCCCTCTCTAACTCCAAGCTTAACTCTGGAAAGGGAGTCTATGTTCATGTCAAAGGGGACTTGGCAGGGGGAGCCAGTATGCCTGCAACCTTGACCAAGCTAACCTAAGTGTCCTGCAGTCCTTATTTAGAAAATGGGGGTTGTGCTACAGTAGTCCTGTTAGGGGATTATGAAAATACAGTGAATTAGTTTGTGCCACAAGCTTGCGTCAGCTCCTGCTATATTAGCGATATTTAAGGAGTGCTGGCTTCTGTTGTAATCACCATGATCTTCGACTCTCAGGGATGAGGATTATCAGCATCCTGTGCGCTGTGTAAGCTCTCAGAGTTTACAACAACCAGACAAATCCAAATAAGCCACGCAGTCCCTCTGTCTGCCAGGTGACTGGCTCTTTTCTTCAACCCTTTGTGGAATGGTCTAGGGTTGAGGGTTGAACTCTTTCCTAGGCCAGCGTTCCCCAGAGGAAGTAGCCTGGGTTGTGTTGGGGTTGGGGGATAGGGGGTGGGAGTGGGTAAAAGATGAGCTAATGAGCCAGGAGTTCCAGTGACATTTTATTTGAGCCAACCCAGAAATCAAGGGGAAATAAAAACAACCCAAGTTGAAATACAAGGAGAATCCCAAACCGTGGTCCTCTGCTTTAGCAGACTTAGTAGAAATGCAGTTGCCTCTAAGGGCAGCAGCAGCATTGTTGGTAACTGGGCCCTCCTCACTGCCTCGTGCTGAGGGACCACTGAGCTGGGAGTGTCTACAGAGCACAGCAGTGTCTGCTGGGAGGAAGGACAACTCGGCTGGCTGCTTATTTCAAGGGACTTGATCAATGGCATGGTTATTTCAACAGCAATTTCCCTAAGATCTCTCACCAGGAACTCTTAGAAGCCGAGCCTTCTGCTTATGCTATCAAACAAATGTTGACTTCAGTAAAGGACCAAAATCCTAGAAAGCTGAGCAGCATGGCACATGCCTTTAATCCCAGAGGCAGGTGGATGTCGGTGAGTTCCAGGCCAGCCTGGTCTACATAGTGACTTAAAAAAACTAAACCAATATTCTAAAAAATGTTTCTAGATACCTCATTAAAACAAAGCAAAACAAAACACCCCTTATTTCTCAAGATTTTCTTTTTGGAAAAATAGGTCTTAAAAATAAATCATATCAATTGAGTAACCACATCCCCCTTTTTCCTCTTTTCTTTTTTGTTTTTTTGTTTTTGTTTTGTTTTTTGAGACAGGGTTTCTCTGTGTAGTTTTGGTGCCTGTCCTGGATCTTGCTCTGTAGACCAGGCTGGCCTCGAACTCACAGAGATCCACCTAGCTCTGTCTCCCAAGTGCTGGAATTAAAGGCGTGCGCCACCACCGACCGGCACCTTTTCGTTTTTAAAAATGTAGTTGGAAAGGACAACTGATCAACTTTCCACCTCCCTCAGAAAAGTTTAGATTTTATAGGGTAACAGTCTTATGGCCAGTCTAGACTGAGCTTATCCTACTATTCGCTGAATGTAAGGAACTATTTTAAGTTCATCACCGAAGGCTATACCACTGAGGAGCAATGGTTCTGAAATGGCCCAGAGGATTACACACACACACACACACACACACACACACACACACACACATATGTATGTATACATATGTATGTATGTATGCGGTGAATCTGAACTTGGTATCTCAGGTGCCAAGTAGGTCGTCAAGACCTCCTCTAATGAGTATTTATACCTGTAGCTTATTAGCCTTGTCCCAGCTACTTAAATTAATATAGACACATATACCATGCCTATGAGAGATTACATATAACTTGGTAGACACCGATTTGATCACCCGAAGTTGACAACAGTTGTAAAAGGACTGGTCAGTATCACATACCTCCTGATGTGAGGCACCAAGATGAACACAGTATTCTCTGGCAGTTCTCTTAGCAAAAGTACTACAGTTTGGACCTCATGAAGAAGAAACAGTGGGCAAACGCAGCATAGGATGCTTCAAGTGGTTTACAAAAATAACTAGCCTGTGCTCTGCAAAGTGGAAATGCCACGAAACACACACAACTGTGGACCTGTCCCTATTAACGGAGACTAAAAGCAGGATAAATGAAGGCAGCATACGATCTGTGCTTTAGGAAGTGTGAATGCATTCTGCACTGGAAAAGCAGAGACTCCATCTGAATGCTGATCCTGATAATGACACTGTGCTTATGGAAGAAGAGGCTTTTATTTTTAGGAACTATACACTGAAATATTTAGGGGAAAATATTATGTCTTCAGATTTCAAACAGACCAGAAAGCTGTGTGAGAAAGGGAACACGATACCGACTTAACTCCGGGGAGCGGCGTGGAGGAACCCTTGTACTCCACATTCCTTGCACTTTTTTGCGCATCCACAGTGATGTCAGAAACTTGAAAGAAAAACACTATGTATGGATAGCCCTGTGGACTTTTTTAAATAGAGAGAGATAGTAGAACACAGGTGTGATGAAGGGAAAGGGGAAAAATGGAGGGCAACCCAGAGGGAGGGGGAGGGAGGTGGGATGATAACACTAAGGGTGTTTGACAAAGCCACAGGGAGACATATTAGTTTATAAGCTGACTTAAAATTATACACATGTGTGTACATGTGTGCATAACACACAGTTTGTCTATAAAACACACAGACAGACAGTTTCAATGGAGTTACCTGACACAGGGTGATGATGTTCCCTGCAGGAGCCATTAGGCTATCTAACAAAAACTCCAGTGCCAGGCAACGGACACCATCCATTGAGTTGCTGGTCAGGGGGGCCAAGAGACCTCTAAATAACAGAGGCAATGGTTGATGAGAGAGGGGGAGTCACGTTTTCTCTAGGGATGAGCTCCTGACAGATTTCTTAATCCTAAGTGGTTATCCTTAAACATCATGTACATCCAGACAACACTAACTAGACTCAGTAGTGAGCGAGTGTGTGTGTGTGTGTGTGTGTGTGTGTGTGTGTGTGTGTGTGTAACTAATAATTACAGAAGAAGTCATGAATTTAGAGGGGTTTGGGGGGCACAGGAAGAGTTGGAAGGGAAGATGGAGGGGTAGAAATGATGTAAATACAGTGTCCTCATATAGGACATTCTAAAACAAAAAGCTAGTTAGAATATAATGCATGTCTTTGAAGCTCTGCATGCTTACCTACTTCTTAAACGCAATATGTGCTTCCTCTTTCCACTATGTTTATCTTTCCCCTTTCCTTTCTTGGTTCCTTCCAGTGCTGAGGATCCAGCCCCAGGGTCTCACACGCACTCTGACACTGAGCCCCATCTCTAGCTTTCAACACTTACTAGGTCAACGTAAGACAGGCAGTTCTCTAACCTTCTCACACTTTGCTCTTTAATGTATGATACAGAGAATATCTGCTTTTTAAAAAGGGAGTGCACAGCACAGACGGTACGGTGGCCTGCTTTGCATTCTCTCCAAACTCGAGGTCATCAGTTGGACACATGGAAGTACCATGTCTTAAGGGGCTGATGATTTTGATTCCAAAGAGACTATGGGTTCCCTTTTACACCACCTGTTAGTCTACACTGCTGGTGGGAATGAATTAGCCCACATACTATGGACTGTACAGAAGTGTCTCAAAAACCTAAAAACAGATCTACCGTATGACCCAGCCACACTACACCTGGGTGATTTTTCCATCACAGAGACACTTGTACACCACGACACTGCAGCACTGTTCACAGTGGCTCAGTCACAGAACCAACCTGATGTCTGAGCACAGAGGGATGGGACAGAGAACATTACATAGATGGACTAGAAAACATTCCAGCCACAAACAAGAATGAGGTGATGTTGACTGCAGGAAAAGGGAATTATATCGAGAGAATCAAGCCAGTCTCAGAAAGACAAACATACTGTCTTTCATTTGGTTCCTAGATTTTTATATATTCATATAAAACCATTCATGTATACATGCCAGGGAGAAATGAAGCTGTCTAGGGACACAAAAGGGTCTAATGGGAGTGGGGAGGAGTGAGAAGGGAAAGGTACAGAATACGTTCAACATAAAATACACATTTGGATGAAGATTTAAAAACCTACAGAGCAGGCTGTGTGGCTCAGTGACAGAGTGAACGCCCCACACATGCTGGCCCTGGGTTCTAACCCTTGCATGGGAAAGAGGGAATAATTTTATCAACACCATTCCTATTTAAAATGGATTTGTCTAAGCACACTTTTCAAAGGTAACCTAAACTTGATGAGGGTGAGGACTCCTATCTGTCTGTCTTACCCATAGAGTTAAAGCACTGTGCTTGCACACAGTAGGCCCTCAATACTATGTAACTGTAGAGAACTGCCAACTACCACCGAAAGCAAGGCATCCCAGGACCTGAGTGCTCATTTTTGTCACTTTCTCTCATCATTTTCTTTGTTCCAAGATAGTATCCGGCTGAGCTTTCACAGGGGGATACTCCTGAGCTAAGCTTTTTTGTGTGGACCTCTGATTTAAAAAAAAAAAAAAAAAGGAATGAGACATTGTGTGTGTTGCCGTGGTTCAAAAATCACTTTTAAACATGAAGTGCTTTTGAAGTGGTCTTAACAACTCATTTTCCTTTGCCTTAGTAACACCTCTATATGGGTCACAGAGCTTTGCAGAACATTGGCTGTATGTGAAAGGTAATATCTGAATTACCGGCATTATTCTACACTCTGCTGAAGGAATGCAGAAGATAAAATAATACCAATAAAACACAATGTTCCAATTTCTTTTATATGTATCTTTCAAATAAAATGTCTAAGAAACAAAAAATTCAACAAAACACTGTGTACAGCATTTTGCTCCCTGGTCAAATAAAAGAGATTTAACTAACTGTCTACAGTCTAGCATAACGCCTACCCACTGGTAAACTCTGGAGTTATTGGGAGTTGTTGCTACTAAAAGGGAAGGGACTTCAGGACATTTTCTGGCTCTGTGATCTCTCCCATTCTTGTTTACCTACTCCTCTGGAGACAAGGACTACTGGATGGGGCTGGAATTTAGCCACAGCTAGGCTCAGTCAGACCCTAGGAGGCAAGACCCAAAGCAACCATCCCAGGTCATTCTTCTGTAGAACCTGACTTAGAATGAACATGAAGAATAGAGAAAGAAAGGAAAGACAGAGATGTAGCACAAAGCCAGAGGTGAAGGGGACTGATAGACTCAAAAGCTGCTGTTCAGTAAGGACAGGGGGTGGGGGTGGGGCCACACTAATTCACAGTCCAGCATGCACGGGACTAAACTAAACCTTGTAACAAGAATAGTTATGATAAACGCAGCCAATGTAGACTGACTGCTAGTTGAACTAGGGACTGTGCTAAGCACGTAACAGACGTCAGCTCAGTCTTCTCAACAGCTCTGTAGGAAGCAGTGGTACTCTCAGACACACAGGCCTGAAAACCAACTGCCCGAGGCCACTTAGTAAGCTGGACAGATGGCACATAAATAAGTTATTCTGAGTCATGGCCTCCTTTTTAAAATTTTATTTGGGTGGAGGCTAAGGCGGTTACATTCTGTGAAATTCTGGTTAAAATCCATGTAACCTTGCTGCTAGAATGAATATGTATGACATACAAACTCTGAAAGCTCAACAGAAGAGTCATCCTCGTAACTCTGTAAACAGCTAGTGAGGCTAGGCAATGTCACCTGCAGGCTGCAGGCTGGCACACTGGCAGCCGGACCCAGGTCTTTGTCCCCAAATATCAACACAATCTTGATGGGGAATTTTGGTTCGTTCACCAAGAAAGTCCCAAAGGGTGATGAGGGCAGAGAATTTGCCAAAAACCCAGTTAGCACTGCTGTGGGAAGACACGCTGACTCCACCGAGAAACTGAAGACTTTAGACTATAGATGGAGTGACGTCATTAAAACCTTCCCATCAGAAAGCATTCTCTGTCCAGATTTAGCACATTTGCACATTCTAAGTTGGCCACTCCCAGAGACATCTATTTCCAGAGAATGTCAGTTACGATTGGCTAGTAAGCACTTGTCATTTGAAGTTAGAAATGTTTCCTGATTGCACATCTCTATGACCCTGAACCCACCTCAAAGACTGACATTCTTGGGGTGATAAAAGCTGCCCAGCAGCCTGTGAAGATGGTCACCTTGGGATGATGCCTGGCCCAGAGGAGGATGTTTTACCCTGTAGACCAGTGGTTCTTACCCTTCCTAATGCTATGACCCTTTCAGTTTCTCAGGTTGTAGTGATCCCCCAACCATAAAATTATTTCATTGCTACTTTATAAGTGTAATTTTGCTACTGTTATGAATCGCAATGTAGATATCTGACATAGAGAATATCCACTATTCAACCCCCAAGGGGGTCATGACCCACAGGTTGAGAACCATTGCTATAGACAATCCTATGGATTTTCTACTGGAAGTATACTTGGTCATGGCCTCTAGGAAAGTTAGAGTCCAGTACAGCAGGTTTCAAAGTATGGCCTGGTGACCTCTCCTGGGGGTGTGTCTGTGAATCAAATTTATTTCATAGTGACATGACGCCATCATGTACCTCACTTTTATGTGAGTGTGTAGAGGTTGTGTATGCGGTGACATCATGACAGACTGAATGACAGCGGCTGAGCGGGTTCAGCAGTTAGCTGTTAAGCTGCACAATAAAGATGCTTTTGAAAACATGAAATGATACCCACTTCCCCCGACCCCAATTTTGTCCTTTAGTTTTGGAACTGGCCACAAAACATAATACAGTGATTTATTATTTTAAAACTAATAAATCAACACATTTAAACATTTTCCAGTTTTGTTTCCATTATAACACACACACACACACACACACACACACACAGCTCACATAAAGCAAAGCTCTTTATGATTCCTGATAACCGAGTGCACATGGGTTCTAGAAGCGAGTGGCTTGAGCACCACATGTCCCCGGAGAGGGAAGACAGACCCCTCTGCAAGTCTGAGCTTCCACTGGTTCCCGGGAGCCAGGCTCACATGGAGACCAGGGGCACCTCCCAGGTTGCTCACTTCAGTATGGCACACTGGCCCGTGGTTCCCTTCATCTGCGTCTCACCTTTACTCCCGTAGATCTCTGGGGGCAGGTCATAGGGCACCGGAAAGGAGGCCACTGGCTCACAGCTGCTGGAGAAGAATTTCTGCTTCACTTTGAAGGTGTCCAGGCCCTGCAGACACACAGAGGGAGGCTATGACTGAATCTTGTTTTCTTATATTTTTGGTTGTGAGTCTAGCCTTTAACGGCTGAGCCATCTCTCCAGCCCAAATCTTGTTTTCTAAAACAGCCAGATGATCCCAAGAAGTAATTTACCTTTATGATACCCATAAGAATATTAAGTGGTTTGAGAGCTAATGTCAACATTGGCTAGTCAAGGATGCTCTATAACCCGTCCCCCCAAATTATTTTCTTCTGTAAAACTAAGAGAGGCTGCATGTGAGAATGAAGCTAAAGCCTGTTAGTTTAACAAGGCCCACACACAGACAAAACAGAAGGAACTGTGCTGGGTGTGAGCTGGTTTCTATCAAATACCACACACAGTTGGCAGGGGGTTTGCAGAACTCCCTGCGTGAAAACGTCCCAGAATACTTGCCCTACCAAAATGGAAGGTTCATTCCGAGAACTCTAGAACAGAGAGTTAATCTCCACTCCGGATCAAGGTGGAGGGGAGTGTCTCCTTCCAGGCTGCTGGGCACACTGTTTTTTCTTTCTCACAGGCCTGTGCAGTGCAGGTGTGTAACACATGACAGCCGCCTCTCGGGGGATCTGGATCATCCAGGCACCCCGCTTTTTGGTCTGTTCCACTGTCCCTTACTCCTACTGTCTACGACCCAAACACATCCACGTTCTAAACGCACAGCAAGCAGTGCTAATGTCCTAGAAGCCGGCTAAGGAACAACAGCAGACTCTGAGTACCCAGCAGGGGTGGGGGCAGTCACAGACACTGTGTGGGAAGGCGTGGCAGTCCCACAGTGGCTTCAGACGCTCTTGAGTTCTAGCCTTTGTTCTGGCATTCACTAAGCCATGTGAATGACTGACAGAAGCATTCATTCATTCAAAGTATTTCTCAAGCTGAAGCTATGGCAGAGCTCCCAAGAGTGCATGGTAACTGCGCTGGTTACTTGCAACCCTGTATTTCTGCTTCCTTACCCCTTCAGTGGGCTTATTTGCATAACAGGACACTAAAAGGGAAGGTGCTGACCACAACCTCATCCAGGTGGACCGGGAATAATGAGCATGCGCAGCACACCAAACAGCAGCACAGCTATGAAATGATGATGTCATCGGCCCAGCCTCCCTGAAAGGAAAGCTAGGATTGTATCCATCAGAACATGGGACACATGTTCCAGAACACATGTGAACACACATTAAGCTCTGCTGCACAGTCTGCCCTTTACCCTTTCCTTGGAAGCTCCCTTCCTCTGTGGGGTAGTCCAAGATCCCAAGAGCCTATATAAGCCAACAGTCCTTTGTCCTTGGGGAACTTGGGAACTTTTGGTTATGAGGCTGTCTAGGTCCTTTCTGTCTGATGTGAGTCTGACTTGGAGTCCCTGTTGGCATACATCTATGGACCTGAGGTTGACAGACTAACAAGCTTCCCTTCCAGGCTAGGCATGGTACCAAGCTCTGGGTATACATGAATCAACAGAGACAGCATCATTCCTGTCCTTATGGAATGCACAGTGTGGGGGAGAGGTGCTAAACAAATACATTTATAGAGAAGTCTAACAAATGAGTGCAACTTGCGGTAAGTGCTGTGAGGAACAGTCGTGGAGTACTATAGGAAGACCAGTGGCCTGCTTCAGACTGAGTGGCCATGGCCAGTGGATGCCTCCCCGCAAAGGGTGAGACTGCGATCTCACTGAAAGAGGAGTCAGGTGTGCAGGTAAGTGTGGCAAGAATGACATTGCAGGTGGGGGAACTGCATCTACAGAGGCCCAGAGTGGCTAAGGCCTGCCATGCTCTGGGAACTAAGAAAGATGATCATTAAGTCTCAATTTCTTATTTATTAAGTCTCAATGTCTTCACTTGTCAAAGGAGGTGGCCATTCTTCATATTAATGTTTGACCTAGTTTGGTTTCTATTTTCTGTAAAGACCATGACCAGGTAACTTGGAGAAGAAAGGGTGTATTTCTTCTAACAGCTCCAGTTTATCCTGAGGTGAGTCAGGGCAGGAATTCAAGGCAGGAACTGAAGTAGACACCATGAGTGAATGCTGCTCACTGGCTTGTTTCCCTTGGCTTCTTAGCCTGTTTTCTTGTATACTCTGGGACCACCTACCTAGGGGTTGTACCACCCACAGTGGGCTGGGCTCTACCTCATCAATCATTAATCAAGAAAATACCCCACAGACTTGCCTTCAGGCCAAACTGGTGGAGGCATTTTCTCAGCTGAGGTTCCCTCTTCCTAGAGGACATTAGCTTGTGCCAGGTTGACAACCAACCAACCTGTGCAAGGTTTCCACCTTCAGTCCCCAGGACAAGTCCTGCTGCATGGTGGGTATGCAGGAAACACTGAGCTGCAGGCACAAAAGAGATGAAAGTGCCGCCCGGCTTGCTTTCATGGCTTCTGCATAACAGCAGCTGTGCTAACACCTGGGAAAATATCTTATGCATGTTAAGAAGCAGAGAAGAGGGCTGGAGACGCATCTCAGTGGCAGAGAACTTTCCTAACGTGCACAGTGCCCTAGTGCAGGAAAACAACCCCCCAAGGGCCTGTAGGCAGGTATGAGCAGTGGTAAAGACACTGACTGACAGTGAAAGGTAGTGTGTGCCATGCGCTCTGCAGAAACGCCACACACAAAAAAAGGGAGAATGACTCACTTCGGTGGCAGGCTAAGGAGAGGCTCCGTAGAAAATGGTATTTCAGCTGGGTTTTGAAAACTTGGTACAGTTTTGACAAACAGCAATGGCAGGGAAGAACACCAGGGGAGAGAGCAGCACGTTCAAGGGCAGGTTGGGAAAGCTTAGAGGAGGCACATTTCAGAGTGCGGAGTGCACCGACGCGTGTGTGCGTGTGTGCGTGCGTGCGTGTGTGTGTGTGTGTGTGTGTGTGTGTGTGTGTGTAACATTTCTCTACGTGAGGAAGGATGTGGTCATCTGTGCTTTGTACCTGTTAAGCTGGGTATGTTATCTTGTTATTAGTGACTCAGGCATGAGTCAACCTGGAGGTGTTGGTGGAGATGGAGATGTCGGAACTGTTAAGAGATGGCTTGAGCTCTTGACTTCAAGCCCTGCCTTGAAGTAAAGAACTCACCTTCTCTGCCTGCCTTGTTGCTTACACTTGTTTGAGTGGACTGCCCATCACTCCCACCCCAAAGGACTTCAGGGGTCCAGTTAGAGTGGAACTTTTTCATCAACTGACACAGAGGAGCTACAGAAGTTTTGAAGAAGACATCTCATTGGTGGGGTAGCTGCAACAGCTTGGGTAATGGACTGGACTGGAGTTTGCTCAGCCAGGTGATCATGAGTTCTCCCAACAGAAACAGGAAGTAGACATGGTAATGGGAGACAGTATCAGAACTGCATTAGAATGATACAGGGCATAGGAACAAGCGAGTCTGTGATACTCAGGGTGTACTCTGTGACAGCAACTGGCTTGCATAGCTGTCCACAGCCCCATCTTTGGGATTTGTGGTCCTATGATCTTCCTACTAAGCAAATACTCGATCTCATATTTGCCATTGAGAACCAGAAAAATGGAAAATCTTGCAATTGTAAAAGTCTCTGGCTCCTAGACTCATCATCATCTTTGACAGCCATGAAGCCATGGGAGAGTCTTCATGGCCTTAACCCAGTTTTGATGCCCTACATATTCCAAGCCCGGTTTCCCTCTTCTGATGTCTGACCTCAGACATAAGAATCTTTGAACCATCCATGTCTGACAAGAACCAATATGCTTTTCTCTTGAATGCCATTTCTGATCCAAATTCTAGGGTATTAAAAAAAAGTACCACTTTTCCCTTCAATCTGCATGTCAAATTATTTGAGGCTGTCTTCTAATTATCATTATTTATATATCACAGTGGTATTGCTTGGCATTTTACAAAACAGAGGAAGGCATCCTCCCAGGCATAGACACTTACAACAGCTAAGACAATGCGTTTATAAAACCCCAGGTGAGAGGGTGGACATGAATCACACATGACAAATTGCTGGCTCCCCCACCACACCCCCAAGCCGGGAGAGTGAAAGCACTGGTTATTGCCGGGATCATTTAGGCTCAGCAGCTTGACTCAATCAGAAAGAAGTCTGCTCAGCTCCAAGTCGCAGATGTGGCTGATTTTGTTAGCAGCACATGCTTGTGTAGCAATGGTGAGTGTAAAACTACATGAGGCACTTTTTATTTTATTTTATTTTTTAAAGATAGGGTCTCACTGTGTAGTTAGTACTAGCCAATGTGAAATGTTTATATAGACCTGGTTGGCCTTGAACTCACAGAGGAGACCCAAGGTACTGGGCTTTCCTGGGTAAACTCCAGAAGGAGTACTTTATCAGGTGGGCTGATTGGTAAGGAAAGAAACCACAGAAAGGTGGTGGCCTGTCCGCCCCCGCCCCTCCCCAGATGCCTGCAGCTAGGGCTTGGGGAAAGCTCATGGAGGGAGTGGGCACAGCAACAGGGCTCTGGAGAGTAGGGGCTCTGGGGGCTAAAGGGCTGTCTGTGAGGAGTAGGGGGAAGAGGAGGATCAGTGCAGCATGATGGGGTTGACATCAACACTGTGATCTGGCTGAAAGCCTAGGGGACTGGCCTCTGCTTTCTACTCTGTGCTGTGTGCGGCTCCCATCTCCAGCAGCAGCCTTTGTGAGTCCTGGGGAACAGCCAGGCTTGCGTCAAAGCCTTTGCAGGTCCATGTGACTCTGATTTACTACCAGTTGGTCCTCACTGTAGGACAGGCTTAGGTGAGTAAATAACTGGGCTAGTCTAACTTAGTTGACCAACAGGGTCCCACTCAGATATCACTTCAAGTCCCTTCGCCACGTGGCATTTTGGCTCCTTAGATCTAGGTCCCTCAGTCTGCCAACTCGGTGCCCTGGAGAGTTCTTTTCTTGGTTCTTGGGCATTTCTCAAATGCATGTTCCCAGTCTGTCTCCTTCCACATTATTTTAGTGGGAGTGATTGGTGTGGTAGAATTGAAGAGGTTATGAGAACTGCTACATGGAGTGCTTGCCCAGCTGTGACCTCCTGGGAAACTGTGGGAGCCCAAGCAATGGCTGGGCAGAGGCAGGTGGGCAGAGCAGCGTGGCGAGAGACAAGGAGGAGGGTGAAGACACAGTGCTTGTAGATTTCACTAGATCTTCCAGCCCGACCACAGTCTTGGCCGAACCTATCAGACTGATGGTAAGACCATCCGAGAAGAGATCATTTGCTTGTGCTATGTGCCATCTTTGAGTACAGCAACAATAACAATAATAATTTAACCAAAACAGAGAAGGAAGATAGTAGACTTGATGATTGAAGTCAAGGCTTTCTGATTTTATTCAAGTTTTTTTTTTTTTTTAATCCTGACTACAGAAAAGTGGAACCTATGGCCTCAGAAGCAAATGAACCTGGGGCTCAGAAAAGGCTGGGATGGTTCTCTGTTCTGTCATCTAGAACAGTGGTTCTCAACTTTCCTAATGCTGTGACCCTTTAATACGGTTCCTCATGTTGTGGTGACCCCAACCATAAAATTATTTCACTGCTACTTTGTAACTGTAATGTTGCTACTGTTATGAATTGTAAATATCTGTTGTGCAGGGTATCTGATATATGACCCCTGGGAAAGGGTTGTTTGATCCCAACCCCCCACAAAGGGGTTATGACACACAGGTTGAGAACACCTACTCTAGATCAATTCTAAACTCTACAGTTGTCAATGGGACTGTAGGGATGGCTCAGTGGTTAAGAGCATTGACTGCTCTTCCAGAGGACCTGGATTCAATTCTTAGCATTCACATGGCAGCTTACAACTGTCTCTAATTCCAGTTCCAGGGGATCTGACAAACTCTTCTGGCCTCCATGGGTACCAGGCAAACACGTGGTGCACAGATACGCATTCAGGCAAACACTCATACACATAAAATAATAAAATAAATAGATAAAAGTGCCAGCATGTGGCTTGGGCAGTCAGGAGTCATAGCCTGGAGGAAGAAAGGAGGTCTGCCTCTAAGGAGGCAGCACCAGCAGGCTTGTGGTCCATGAAGACCATCTGGTGGCAGGATGGAGCAAAGCTTGCAGATGGCCTCTGGGAGGATGGACTGAAGAAAGGAGCCTCAGGGAAGGAAGCAGAGGCTGATGGAAACAGCCACAGCGGCTGCAGGGATGGCCAGAGGTGACATTATCAAGCAGTACTGAGTAGTTAGGAATGACAAGAACCAGTGATTAAAAGATATGGAGAGAAAGAGTTGCCATGGGTATTTCTCATGCTTCAAAGCACGGAAGTGGGGTGACCAGTAACAGTAATTCATTAGCAATCAGACCGTCTGGCTAGTGTCCTTTAAACGATCAAGCTGATTTTGATGACATTTGCAAATGCCACATATCCTCAAGTACCTTCTGAATAATATAAGTGATAATCTATAATTTAAAAATTACGTTTTATAAGATTCAAAGGCTCAGACAATTGGGCTTGTGACGCAGATTGTCTTTCCACTGTCCAGGTGGGACACAGTCCATCCCAGCAAGTCCTGCCCTGCCACCCTAGATCAGGAGTCCAGTCTCCTAAACTATGTCCCATCTTCACCCCACAGTCCTAGCACACAGAAAACAGTATTTTTCCTTGACTATAATGTTATATTTCTCTGCCTGAAACTGGGTTGAGCACTTGCTTCTCAAGGACCAAATTGAAGAAACTCCTGCAGAAGCCTTTCCCAGTTCCCCAGCAGAGCCCATGCTCCCCACCTGCCAGGACTCATATCTAGAAATGTCCCTGACCACGCTTCGTATCACATGCTGTAAAGTTTGTATCTGTGTATCTCAATGCACCCTTGAGATTCCCGAGAATGAGGACCATAGCCTGCTCTCACTCTTTCCCCAGAGCCCAGCACAGGGGAGGCCTCAGGTGTTTGTGAACCTGAGCTGGCGTTGATGAGGTCAGCCCTAGGCCACTGTGTTCAGCTCCGAGCCTGTAATGGGCTTTGAGGAGGGAACTGAGCAGTTCTGTGGCAGACCCCTCTTTCAAAGATGGGCGGTAACTCGTGAGCTTGTGTGATGGCTGGCTTCCCTCAAAGTCAACACCACAGACAGCACTTCCGCTGCCTTTTCAGAAGCTTCCCATTCCAGCAGGCCACACAGGAGCTCTGAGACAGCCTCCTCCTCTATTAAGAAACCAAACACTACATCCCACAGACCGACAAGGCCCACGGCAGCTCACTGTTTGGTGAGGTGCTCTGGGAATCCATCTCTGGGGTGGTTTTACACCCCCTTCCCTGCAGACAGGCCCGCGGAGGAGCCCAGATGCATAAGGCAGACAGAAACCTAAGAAGCAGAAAGACATACAGAGTGGTCTCCACCGAGGGGGAGTCCACTGGTGGCAGCAGCCAGAGAGAAGGACTGCACAGATCCCAGAGTTGGGCTGGCCCCTCCCTGCCCTCAAATCTGAACTATCAGTAATTCCTTTGACTCCACAGCTTTCTTCGGCATCTTTTTTGACTCCCTCCTTTTGTGAGATTAACCTTACTTTTATAAAATGCAACAAAAGAACACTATAGTCCCCGAGTTTCCGCTTACTCAGGCTGCACGACACCCTCACAGTTCAACCCGCAGCTCACACCTGGGACATGTATCTTCCTGACCACATACAGGGTGTCTGACTATGACCATGAGCTCCCTGAGACGCAAGGTCAAAACATTTCTGTGGATTCCTTGCAATGCCTACCTTTAACGCTGTGCCCAGCCATTTATGACTCACTGAAGGGCACATATAACTAACTGGATAAGATGAAGCTGGGACGGGGCTGTGGCTGGCCAGTCCTTACCTGTTTTATAGAAGGAGCCACTGCTAAGTACTGTCCCAGGCTCTAGAGACAAGCCAACAAACTGCTGGAGATCTGTGACCCTCTTAGTATGTTCGTTTGTTTGTTTTCAAAAATGCCTTTTATTTGATACATGTAAGAACAGCACAAACAGGGAATTAGAGAAGCCCACACATGGAAAGGCCATAGGAACAGCACTTTCAGTCACATGATTAACGTAGCCTCAAAGTTCAAGTAACTGTGTTTCCTTTCTCTTTCCCTGTTAGTCTCTTCCTCCTACTGATCTCTCATTCTCCAGCTTTCCAGACACAAACAAACAACAAGAACAACAAAAACAGAACATGTATAAATAGCTACAGACCTGCTGTTCATCTTTCCTCGGCCAGTGCTGTAATGCTTCAGATAAATCTGCTCATGGTTTGGAAAGTAAAGGTCAATCTCAAGCTTACCTGTAGTCAGCAATGTGAGATATACCGTCATCGGGCCTGGGGCCTAGCTCTACAGAAGGGGTGGCATCCATCTTTATGTTTGCTAGAAAGTCTTCATAAATAATGCAATATCTATTTTTACCTCAAATGTGCTATATGTGCCTAGCCTTGTTCTTAATAAAGTCAATTTGGGGATTTTAAATGATTATTCCCATTTTTCTCTATGGCCTTCCTCTAATATACAGGGAAAGAGTATCTGCATTGAGGAGGGCCTGGAGGACATGGGTGACATTTCTGTCTTGTCAAAATTCCCATGGTCAGGGATCAACTCAGAGCAGATTTTACAAATGTCAACAACCAAAGCCAAATAAGAAAGACATGGAATGTATTCCACGATCTGAGTCAGTACCAGTGGACAATTCCTACCTAGACTGAAGCCAGTCCCCATAACCACAGCAAATATCTGAGCACTGTAGTGGAGAATGACGAACTTGCCACTTCCCAGACACGTGACAGAAGTGAAAGATCACAGGGAGCAGGCAGAAGACCGTGGCCTTGGGGACATCACATCCTTGTCCTTCAAGTAGGCTGCGACATTGAAATCTAGCAGTAATCAGCAAGCGGATGTTTACTCAGTAGGTAACAGAAGGAGCCGAATCCTTCCTTACAAGAGTCGCTTAGGGTGGCCAGTTAGTTACATCCTGAAAGCCCCTGGGGTGGAGAAGGACAGGTAAAGACTGGCAAGTAGGGGAGAGTGGTTAAGAGCTGCTCCCCAGAGCTCTGGGAGAAGGGAGGAAGATAGAGTCCTGCTGGGCGTGCTAAGAAAGAGGGCGCTTTGCAGCTCCCTGGGAGACTGTGAATCCATTACTGCTCAGGCGCTGATTGAAGTCTCCAGCCAAGCTCATGGTACCCTCTAGCTAACCCTAGTCCAGCCAGAGCAGCTCACAATGGACCTATTCTAAAACTACAGCAAGCAGGAAAAAAAGGAAATGGAGGGTGGCATTAACCATTTCCCTGTGTAGGCAACCCTGACTATATCCCATGATCAATGTGCCCAGAGTGTAAGGAGGGTAGGGGAGGTTTTGGGGCCTCTGTAGCTCAGAGAAATGAGTCTCTGGAAGTGTGATTCCACTGTGTGGTGAAACATACGGCTTAGGCCGCCTGGTCCCCACAGGCACAGCAGACATGTCATCTGGCGTTTGGCTATGGAAGCTGTTAGCCATTCCAAAGCTGCCGAGGAGCTGATGTACTGGACATCTTGAGAGACTTGCTTCCAGCATGGTGCATTTCTGGGTGCTCACCGTCACATGTGTCCTCAGCTAAACCCAGAACGCTTTACTCCTCAGTTTTGCTACTGCCAATTCCTTTCCAGGTGTGCTGTGGCTTCCAACCTCTCCCTGTACTCTAACCCCGCCCCTCCGGCCCCCCATCTTTCACCTCCCCTAGCGCCCGCCCCCAAAGTCCTGTGCTAGGCTGGCTACTCCTTTGATGACTTGTCATTTCCCTCTGCAGAAGTCTTCGCATTATGCTTTACAATAGTTATTTAAACGTGGTTACTAACCTCACCTCTCAACCTCTAGCCAGCTATCCCATGTTAAAAGCATCGGTCAGAATCCTGACCCCGCTTCCCGACAACGCTAGGCCCATACTGTGACTAGAGGGAGAGAACACAGAAGTCCCATTCACAAGAGGTGTGACCAAGCGGGTAGGTGAAGTGTGACTCACAAATGCCGACGGGAGGAAAAGAACCCCAAGCTCGTAGGAGCGGATCATCAGCTGGGTGCCGTTCTTCTCCAGTGCTCCCCAGGCGGCCTTGGACAGATTCGCGCTGTGGAGACAAGGACACAGAACAGGCTGTCTCAGTGTGGCATCTCTGTGTGGGTCAGATGTACACAGCTGCGAGAGCATTGGTCAAAAAATGCACAGCCGCAATCACGTTGATTTAGTTTCGAGCAAAACTGCGGCACTGAAAAGGAAGTTTAAGTCTCACTGTGCTGCAGTTCTCAGGATTTATCTAATTGCTAATTAGGGGTAGCTTCACCCTCATTTGCCCCACACCAGGGCAGTTATTAAAATGATTATCTTCCTTAGAAGTATTTTTTTCCATGTCCAAACTCCCTCTTCTTTTTATAGTCCTGGTATTGCTGTGTCTTCCAATTTTGTTGTACATAAAAGCAGCACTTAAGAAAAATCTGTGGGGCTGGAGACGCAGCTCAGTGGCTAAATGTGTGAGTCAGTGAGGATCTTGCAGAGGACCAGAGTTAGGTTTCCAGCACCCACGTAGTTCCCGAGTGCCTGTAACTCCAGATCCAGACGATCCAATGCCCTCTTCTGGCCTCCAAGGGCACTGCACCCATGTGCACAAATCCATACACAGACACATCCACATAACTGAGAATAATGAAAATAAATCTTCAAAAACAAAAACCTTTTAAAGAAAAACTGTTAATAGTATCATATACATGTTGCCACTTTCTGTCTTTTTGGGGGGAGGGACAACTGAAGCTAACTGCTACTTTCGCTTTGAAGAAAGCAGCTCTGGGGCCACCAGCCTGGTGCTTGCCGTCAGAATGAGATGGCTCCTCTAGAATTGTGTTTAATATAGACAAAGAACTGTGTGGGTATGGCTTTAAAAAAAAAATCCTAGCACAGCAGGAGGAAGGAGACCTGGAATAGACACAAAGGAAGTGCCAAGATCACTTTGGTTCTCATTTCTACTTCTACGGATGCTTAAGAAGCTGACTTCACAGAAGTGGAGAGGAGTGCAGCAGTGACTGGGAGAGGGGGAGGGGGCGGGGCTTAGGGAGGGCAGAGGATGGCCAGATAACTGAGTCCTGGTGCACCGCACTCGGTGACCAGGGCTAGAAATAATCGCTTCTCCATTTATTTATCTAAGGCGGGCAGGCTTTATTGTAGCTCATAGTTTGAGGGTACAGTCTGTTATAGCTTGGCAGTGGCAGTGACTGTGGCTGTGGCTGTAGAACCACATGGCAGCTGGATACTGTGTCCATAGTTCAGAGGCAGAGAGGGATGAAGGCTGGGTCATGGGAGGACCACATTCAAGGTGAGTCTTCCCTGTTCAGCGAAACCTTCTGGAAACGTCTTCACAGTCATGTCCAGAGATTTGTCTTCTAAATAGTTCTAAATCTTGACAATCAAAACTGACCATGCGCGCGCGCGCGCGCGCGCGCGCGCGCGCGTGTGTGTGTGTGTGTGTGTGTGTGTGTGTGTGTGTAATTTGAAGAGAGCAGGACACAGGTGCTATGAAGGGGAAAAATGGGGTGGGGGGACTAACTGGGGAGAAGGGAGGGAGGAGAGGGGGATACAGAGGGAAGAAGAAATGACATCAAATGTATTTGAAAAAGCTATAGGGAAATCTTTTCATATATATATATATATATATACACACACACACACATATATATATATACATCTATATATATATATATATATATATATAGATGTATATATATACTCTCACCACGTAAAAGGATGTTCCCCAGGAGCCATGGACTATCTAACAAAACTCCAGTGCCAGGAAGTGGACATTTCACTTTATGTTGTTGGTCAGAAGGGTCCACAATCACCCCCTCCCCCGCAATACAGGCAATTGCTACTGCCCTTGGCTACCTCCCAGAAATTAAAACTCTATTGCTGAAGACACTATACACTTAAGTGGCAGGACTCGAAGGAATCCTGTTGGTTCTGACCTGGAAGCCTCCTCCTCGAGGACCAGCACTTAGAGTATCTGAAGGTGCTATATGAGCTGCCAAGCGAATAGCAATCAACAACCCTACCCAGCTGCAGATCCTGGGAACTTCTTACACATTTTAAGAAGGGCTAAGTGACAGGAGTTGTAGAGACACGAAGAGATGAATGTTTACAGAGATGGAAATGGTTTTTATTTTGACTTGATCGCTGTACACTGTATACAGTATTCCCCACAAATGTGTGCAACTTTAGGAAAATTGCTGTTAATAAGAGGAAACCTACTGCATAGCCTTAAAACAAGTCAACTAGGTTTGCCCCAATTCTGTTTCTCTTTCAAGATGAATATTAGGAGCTGGGTGTGATGGTGCATATGTGCAACCCCAGGACTCTGGATGTGGAGGTGGGAAGAAGATCAGGAGTCCAAGGCCAGCCTGGGTTACATAAGACTCCCCCTCAAAGAACAGACCTACCTGCCTTCTCAAGCAGTTGGACCACACTGGGGATAGGGAGCCTGTGACACACAAGGTCACAGAGAAACGTAACAAGGAGAAAGAGAGGTATCACTTCAGGAGAACATTTTCTTTGAAAGACAGCTAGGATTTAGGTTCCTCACCTGTCAGGGATAAATGGCATCCTTCCTGTGCTAAGGCAAATGTCTAATGGTAAAATCAACCAGCAGGCTGAGGTGGAGGCTCTCTTCTCAAAGTTTTTCTCCCTTTCTAGGTCTCTGCCCTCTGGGTAACACCCTTGAATGTCAGCAACATGAGATCCAAGCCAAATGTGCCTTTGGAAAGGCTTCTCATCCTTCCCACATTGACTGTTCCCTCACATCCCATGAGTTGAGGGTTTCTCCCCAGTGGAGACAAACGGAGACCACAGGGACCCTCTTGCAGATGGCTGCCTCCTACCCTGCTTTTGTCTTTGCTTCTAGCAGAATTCCAAGGATCTGCAGCCTTCAAAATTTTACCCTGAACACCAGGAGACTTGAAAGACACTCGTAGGTTGTCTAGGTGACAAATCAACATTCCTTGAAATGTCATCTTTAATAATTTCTTACATTATGAGTAATGCTTTGAATCACTGGCACCCAGGGCAGCCAGGAAGACTGGGAATGCATTTCCAAACTCTCATGCTGTCTGCTCTGGGTGTGGGTGGTCTAGAAGCCACCTGGGTCTTCTACAGGGCAAAGTGACGCCCTGAGGCTCATGCAAAGGTCGTGTGTTCCTGGAACTCCGAAGGCCTTCCAGCTGCTCTTGATTCTGTCACAGCTTCTCAGGTGTGGCTGCTCACTATAGGCTTCATCCCGGTCCACAAAAGAAAAATTTGTATCAACTCTTGAAGAATAAATTTATACCATCTACCATAAGAGTTTCTAAATGAATTCCCAGGAGACTGTTAAGGTACATATGGAATCCATCAGGCACACATGGGATAGTATGTTAGGTACCTGGAGAGCAAAGGCAGGCAAACGTTGAGAGAAGAACCCCATAGCTGGAGCCCATTGTTTTATCTCTACTTCCTTACTAACAGTGACTCCCTAAGCACTTTCTATTCTCCTTTGCTTTAGGCTCTTGTCTCTAGAGTGGGTGTGCATGGGGACAGGGTAGTCTTTGAGACCAAAATACTTTCCCAGACCAGATTCTCCAAGCCACCCTCTGCACATCTACTTGGGGGCCTCCCCTGTCACCCCAAAGAGAAAAATTCCTAGTTTCCACTGGGAGCCTCCTACCGAGAGCACGTATATGAAAGAAAGCTCATGGCAATCTGTTGGAAACAGCTACTCAAGAGAAGGGAGCCCATGAGGATGGCCTCAAGATCACACCTTACTCCGTGAATCTTTCAGAGTCTAAGCACTGGTGATGGAGGTGGCTGTCATGGCCAGCGCTGAGCATCACTAGAGCTGCTGATGGGGTTGATTGTTAAGATATTGTTAAAAGTGTATGTGTCCTCCAGGGTGACTGCCGTTACAGGCACACATGTTGGCTGGGGAAGCCTTTCTTTGCATCCTGACTACTCAACAGTCTAGGCAGCAGCTGCACAAAGAGAAGACATGGTTTACAGACCAAAGCTTGCGCCACCGGAGTGTCAGAGGTAGGGACCGACACTGGCCTGGATAGATGTCACAGTGTTAACCGTGAATGCTGAAGAAGATCATACCGAGCAGCTGCAGTGAGGAGAGAATGACAGACCACAGCCACTGCTGCTGACACCTGTTCCCGAATGCCCCCAGGAGCATGCCTTCCTCAAACACACACAGGCAGTGCATGTTGCCTTTCTTCTGTGCTGGCTCTAGGCTGCTCTGTACTGCCCTTGGGCTCTGTTTCTCTCTATGGACTGCAACAATGTGTCACGAAAGAGGAGAAAACAGTCTCACTGTAAAGGAAAAGAAAGTCTCACACTGTAAAGGATTCATGTTGTATTTCAGTACACGTAAGAAGCTAGAATTCAGAGACTGTTAAATCCCTATAAAACATCTTTCCCTACATAGATTACCACTCGAAGTATACAACAGCACTCTCTTCTTGGGCCACTGAGAACACCAGGTAGATATCTAAGACAATTCTGCATTCTAATAGACACAATACATTTTTAACTATGATTGCTCTGATTAGAAGTGGTGTTCAGCATGTTCAGCCTAATCTATGTTTAATTCTGTGAAATTGTGTTTCAAAATTATGCCTTTCTTCTTTTGATTATTTTAATTCAAAGTGTCTTTTACAATGGAGCCTATTTCCCGGGCTGATGGTGCTATTCTGCAGGCAATAGAAACCTCAGGAGATGAGGCCTGGCTGGAAGAAGTCGGGCGTTAGGAGCAGGGGGCATCCTGTCCCTGTTTCCTCTATGTCTCTTTCTATACCTGGTCCTCCCTATAACAAGAAGCCTCTGCTACATGTTCCCACCACGATGTTCTGCCTCACCATGGCCCTGGAGCCAGCAGGGCCAAGGACTACGGAGTGGACTGCCACCTCTGATATGGTGCACCAAAACCCAATCTTTCCTGCAAGCTGCTTTTCTCCAGTATCGGGCACAGTCTGGAGGGTCTGACTAATGCATGCAGCGTCCTTTGGTTTATTACTGCTCTAACAGATGGCATAAGGTCCATGCCTTCAAGTAACA